GGTGGTAGTCTGAAGGCTGGGAGGAACTGTGTTATCAATGGGAGGAATGCACAAGGCCGCCGTTCTGTGAGAAAGGAGTTTGGCGCCAATGCAGCAAGGGGGGGGGGATAAGTAGAGGGAAATTTACACAGGCCTTAGTTTTAGCAACGCTTTGCTTCAAGCCGCATGTACCAACCAATAAAGGAGCATTTATCTGAACCAGGCCTGGTTTCACGAGAATTCTTCTAAATTGGGGTTTGGACTTTGTGGACTTGACACTGCTATTTAGTGGGCGGGAAAGATAAATTACTTCTAAGGATCCTGGACTGGATAGCTAGGAAAAAGCTGTTGCGCTGAGGAAAAGGACATGTTTTGCCACCACGACCTGCGTGGTGTGGTTGCTTTCGACCCACCTGAGGATCTCAGGCTCAGCTGTGTCCCCAGGCAGGCTGGGCTGAAGAACTTTGAGGGGACTCTGGGGATATCAAACTAAAAAACACGCATTAAACCTCATGGATGTTTCCCGCACCTATCTTAAACCTGCCACAGAAAATTGTTCTTTTGGCCACCAAATGTTGGCAATGCCAAATAAATGAATGAATGAATGAATGAATGAATGAATGAATGAATGAATGAATGAATGAATGTGACCTCAAGGCAGGTGGTTAGCCACTCCTGCTTTAAAAAAATAAGGTTTGGCTTGGGCCACCTATGCGAAAATACACAGACCAATGGGATCAAGCTTTCATGCCTGCAGGACCATTTTTTTTTAGCAACTAACTCAAATGGGTAGTAAGCTGCCCCCCGCCCAATCAATGTCCAAAGAGAGTGCGATTCCTGCCCGTGCAGCCCTTTCATCTCCGCTCATCGGCCTTTCCACGGAATGAGTGGGGCAAACATGAGCTCCTCTCTGGGAATCCGAGAACTAAAAAAAGTGGGCTTTGAGAGTCCTGCCAGCCAAAATGCCCCCGGCCGTTCTCATAAAACCCCAGAACTGGCAGCACCATCCCTGCCAGTTTTCCCCATTGAGGAGGAAATGAACTAAGCTGGTCTGAGAGAGGCAGGAGAATGTTTTGGAAGGAAAAGAGACCCAGCGGCAACCTGGCTCCTTGAAGGGGATCTGGTTGCAGGCAGGCGTGCTCAAACCGCCTTCCTCCGGCTGGGCTTCCCGTGGACATCCGAAACAGACCCGGGAAGGCCAGCGGTCTCCAGCGGTTTCTCCTACCAGAGAGAAGGCAGCTCTGGTGGATGTTTGTCCCTGGAACTTCTTGCTGCTTGGGGATGGTGGGACATATTTATTTATTCAGTTTGGCACCACTTGACTCCAGAAGGACTCTGGGCAGCTCACAATATACCAAGCAGAATAAAAGAGCAACAAGATAAAGAGAGAAAAAGGAAACTAAAAAAGGTAAGAACAGGATGATGGACCCAGTTAACTACACCGAGACACAATCCAGCCAGGCCCCCAACCAGGCTAGCCAGGCCTGGGAGAAGACCTGGTCTTATAAGCCCCCCCAGAATGTCGGGGGGACCACCTGGCTCTCCGGGGAACCTGCCCCTTGAAGGTATAATCTTATTTTGAACCATCAAAAACAGATCTACGGAAGGATGTAAGAAGACAACAAGACCTGGGTCTTTCAGGCTGCATAAGCCCAACACCGTCAGAGTTGTCTGCAAAATATGTGTCCCTGTTCACAGAGGGAACGTTGGCTAGCAACAGAATAATAATTTTAAATGATACAGAACTGTGCCTGCATCGTGAATATATGGCGTTTAGAGAAACGCAAACGGGTACATGATTCTGTTTCAAAAGCAAGTCACCAGGGTTTCTCCTGATGCACAGAACAGAACAAAGCGTGCAAAACATGGAGGCTACGCAGCAAAAGGCTCCGGTTTGGGTTTCCACCTCACCACCCATGCCCTCTTCCAAGGCCTTCAGTTCCTCTTCTTTCCGCACCAATTTGCTGGAGCTTCACACCTCGAAAAATGAGTTGGCATCATTCCATGGCGCAGCCCTAACAGAGCTACAGTATTGCTCCTCCTGCTGTTTTTTCTAAGCTTGCAGGGAACTTCAGCAAAGTCCAGGGTTCTGACCTCTGCTAATATTTTCCTTTCACTTGTGGGTGGTGCTGCTGGGGAGACTCAGATAGAGCAAGCGCCACCACCCAGCAGTAGTGAAACTAGCAGAGTTGTAATGTACCTATTTACCTTCTGGTTTTGCAAAAAACCAGACAAGATTGTGCTGCTAAATTTTTAATGGCACCTGTTTTGCAAAAAAGGAGACCGGGCACCCTCGTGCATACCCTGTTTGCCTACTTCCGCTGATATCTCAAAGCATCAGAGCAAGGGGAGGCCAGCTCGGAACCCCAGGAGGGGACCGCAGCACCATGAGGCTGTTCGGCATCTTACCCCCAAAGGGCGACTCCCCCCAGTCCCTCTCCCCTCTCCACACAGGCGCCTCCCTCCACGTACCTCATCAGCCCCAATGTGTACCCAGCTGGAATGCAGGTGCTTGCTGAGGACCTGGGTGAGCAGGGCCTTCAGGAGGGCCAGGGTCTCTGGGTGGTGGGGGTTGAAGCTGTTGGGGAAACGCTCCACTTCGCGCAGATGCCGGTACTTGTCATGCTTCAAGATGAACTGCAAGAAAGAGAGACAGGCGCTGTGGGCCGCACCCTGGAAAGAGGACAAGGCGACCCGGGGCCGAAGCCAGCGTGGAGTTCATGGGAGACGAGTCTGGCTGGAAAAGGTACCGGCCCACCAAAAAACTGCTCCTAACTCAGTGTCTGGACGGGCCCCCGCAGCAGCGGAACCCTAGAAATGAATGACACCAAAACCAAATTTCTTTTGCTCACTAAAAGGCGCAGTGACCGTGCTCATAATTAGAAGATGAGCAATACTGACTGATACTGAGCAAGAACTTTAAATACGCTGGAATCCTGTGCAGCAAACAAAAGGCGCTTCTGCCTGAGCACAAAAAGCCTCTAACGCAAGAGGAGGCTTTGCTCGCTGCAGAGGCGATAATTCTGGCCCTGCCACAGAGCCTGTGCGCTACGGCACACGAACCTGCATATCGAAAGGCCTAAGAGCACAGCTGTGTCCCCCGGCGGAGGTCTAACACCCTCCTAGTCCCACGGGAGAATGTGCCAGCTAAAGAACTGGCTGGAGTGAAATTACTCAGAGAGATTCCGGGTCCCAGTAATTCCCGCTGACAGCTTTGCCTCTTCCTGGAGGAAAGGCATTAAAGTTACGGTGGCCTCGCATCTCCGCTTCTGCTCCCACAAGGACATGAGACAGCGATATTCTAGACACCGCCTTGAAGGTAGATGGGAATTTATGGCCCTATTTCTGTGAAGGTGGTCTACATGAGAGGCCCTCTTCTCTAGCCAACTCTCTTTCTGACATCGTGCCTCTTCTGCACAGGAGGCAGTTTCTGGCCCCTAGGTTTCATCTGGGGTTGCAAAGGGAGGGGCAATAATGTTCCTGTATATGCCCTGCTCAGAAGAGTCATGCGAGCTTCCCACATTTAGTGCAACGCCCTACATGCCAGCCTGGCATGCCCACCCAATTGTGCCTTCTGTAGTTACTTGTCAGGGCCAGCCAGAGGAAGAAAACACATTTATTTTAATTAGTGGATTTACCTCTAGATGTAACCAGAAGGGTCACTAAATTTTGCTCAGTAGAGATTGACATAGGGGAGATGTGGATTTGATTTCCTGGTTTTGGTTATCCGGACCATATGCTTAACCCCGCTTTGATTCTTAAGTGTTTGATGTTTTATCTCCTTACATTTTGGGGGTTCGGTTTATTTGTGCTATTATATGTTGCTTTTGGGTCTCAGATTATAAAGAAAGAGAGAGAGAGGGAGAGAGATTCGATTATGTGCCATCAACTTGGTGTTGACTCCTAACGAGCGCACAGGCAAGTTTTCTCCAGGAGGATCCTCCAGCGGGGCAGCCGCCCGTGGGGCCGCTGTCTGCCCTTGGGAGAAGCAGCTGCAGCCGGGCGGAAACGCTTCTCACCCCGTTTCCCTCGTGAATTCACACATTAACTCACAGCTTTGCCAACAAGCATCCAAGTGGGCGTCCCGGCTGCCTGTAACAACTGAGCCACCCCCGGGGTCTTCAAGGATGGGCTGAGGCCCAGTGGCGGCCACAGCCCGTCCAGGCCCTCGGCTCGCAAAGACAAAGGCCAAGACCTGGGCTTTTAAGAGTGGGCGGAGTCTAGGAGAAGAGGAGATAAGCACAAGCACGCAGGTGTGCAGGTAGGGAAGCAGATGCGACATCTGGAGACTGGCAGCCATTCCAGGCTGGCAAGAGGACTATCAGCCGGGATCACAAGCTATGGGAGCAGCATATCCTGGTGGGAGTCCTGCTTGGAGCTTTGCCAGGGGCTGGACAGCAACCAGAAAAGGAGCAACCGCACTGAGGCAGCACCTGATCCCGACTAGCGTAAGAACTTCCGGAAGAAGGCAAAGGTTGCATGCTGCTATACAGTCTTTGGGATCTTTGTTTGGACTAAGCATTAAGTATTAAAAGATTGAGTATTAAAGACATATTTACATGCAACGTCACCTTGCAAAGTCTAGAAGGGTGGAGAGCAATAGCCTACTGTTGGGGAAGGTGCGTGCTGCAATAAAGCACTGTGTCCAGATGCAATGGTACATGAGAAAGACCCTGGGAGATGGGGCGAAGAGACGCCACCTAGGGAATGGTCAGATAAGAGAGCTGCATAATGGGAGAAAGAGGCTCAGAAGGGACCCTCCCTAGCTTCCCAGGCTGTAAAGGAGATTTATACTTTCAGACTTGCAAGATTCTGTTGATGCAGCCTTACAATAAAGTAGAATTAGTTCATCTGGTCGTGTTTCCTGTCTGGTCTACCAGGGAAGGGTGACAACAGATCTGCTATGCCGTGGTGTGTCCAGCCCTTGGAAAGCAAAGAACCCTTACACCATCACCACTTAGTCACCGCAAGGACTGACTTTCTTCAGGAAGATCTGCTCTCAACCTGAACTTTTATGTCTCTCAGTTCTCAAGAGTGTTCTTCAGCACCAAAAGTGTCAATACTCCTTCTATCCTGCTTCTTCAAAGGCCAACTTTTGCTACTAGAGTGTCACAGGGAAAACCATTGCCTGAATGATTCTAATCTTTGTAGATACAGATACATCCCGGTATCTCAATACCTTTTCCAAAGCTTTCTTTACTACCCTACCAAGTGCTAGTCTGCAGCATGTTTCTTGAGTGCTGGTTCCTTTACTGTTGACAGTTAATTGTAAAAGGCAGAAGCTATCCACCCCTTCAGTATCTTCATTGTCAATTCTAAGGCAGGTTGCTGGTCCTGTTGTCATTAGTTTGGTGTGAAGGAATGGTTGGATGAAGGCCGCGCTCGGGGAGATAAGCATTTCCTTAGCCCCCAACAGGAGCAGGGGAAGGTGAAGAGGATGAGGCTGGCACCACCCTAAGGAATTCACGGTGTTTGCTTGCTGGCTTGAGAAGTTAGATTCAGTCTGGCGAGATTCTGTCTTTGAGGTGGAAGCTAATAAACGCAACCGAACTGTATCTGTACTGTCTCGAGGAGCTCTTTGGGCTAAACCTGACATCTGGTTTTAATTTAATCTTTGTGCTCCTTGAC